ACACACACACACACACACACACACAGACTCAGATACATACATACACACACAAAGACACACAGACAACATAATAAACATGCAGATGAGGTCTGAGCACAGTTCCCAGGCAAGCCAGTGAGTGGCAGGCTGGGATCCGATCACAATGGCTGGGTTACTAGTGACTCTACCAAAGATCAATCACACTTTGTTATACTAGTTTCGTTGTTTAAATGTAGAAAGAAACGTCTAGACTGCACTGAACACAGATAGGTCTGCAGGCAAGGCATGTCCTCAGGGGTGGAAGCAGTCTTTTCCAGGCCAGTGGATCCCCTGCCTGTTCTGTGACAACGGTGGGCCAGCAGGGCCACAAATGCAGGCAAAGCACCACGATGGTGGCCGTGACGTGACCACCCATCATCAAACCCCTCAGATGGTGAACAAGCCCCATGGCTCCGGTGTCCAGAGCTGGTCTCTCTGTTTTGAGTTCTTCTCAACCGCCCTCTGCTTGGGATAGGGAGATGCTGATGCAAGACGCACAGTGGGTGGGGGTGGAGGGAGGGCAGATGGAAGAGAGGTGGGCAAAGAGTCCATCAAGGAGCTGCCCGTGAATTCACTGGTCCTGCACGCTGTCCCCGCTCTGCCCGTTGGAGGAAATCCTCATTCCCGGGTCCTCTGCTTGGTGCCACCTGGACCAGCCTCTGTTCCAGCGTGTCTCCTGTCCCATCCCTACTCTCCACAAGGGAGGAAGAAGAGAGGCTGCCCGGGGCTAGGATATGGAACCGGGGCTGGGCATGCTCAGCTCTGTCCTCTCCTCTCTGGAGACCTGCCAGCCAGCACAGGGGGCCCATTTGGACGAGCGCTGACCCCATCATTGGCCACAAATCTAAAGGCAGCCTCTCCATTTGGCTTTCTCTTGTTCTGACTCCTGCATCTATCTCCCTTTCAGGTGCTTCCAAAACGGGGCAGGGAAGCAAGGGGTGTGCGATTTATAAGCTCCCCTGGACTCTTAACCCTTGTCAAGGGAGCAAGTTGCTAACTTCCCTGGGCTAGACTACAAAGGGAAGGGTAGAAATTATTCAGAAGAAAAACAATGTACACACACACACACACACACACACCTATGCCTATGAATACAGCAGCAGGAGTCAATGGCCAGTGTGGAGCACATACTATGCGGCAGGCGTGATGGGTCCACCCTGGCCTCATGTCTCTCCTGCAGGGCATGATCCCATTTCACAGATGAGACCACACCGAGGCTCCAGGGATCCACCGCTGGGGTAACACACTAAGTGTAAAGGCTCAGATCCAGGCTGCCAACGCCCTGAGCCAGTCCCTGCGTACCTCCCGTCTGCACAAGTCCGTCCCTGGGCGGCACGGCTCTCATTTTCATCAGTGCCGTAGACGGAGCCATGCTGAGCCCCGACTGGTTCCGTCACCAGCTGAGTGGCTACCCTGAGCCATGGGACAGCAGGAAGCCAACGGAGGCGCTGTGCTGTGCAGGGACGTGGGAGGCACAGGAGTGGGAGGCATCCACTCCCCGATCTGCGTGAGAACCAAAGGCCGGGACGAACCCCGCGCAGGCGCACACCCTGCTGTTTAGACCCAATGAAGGCCGCGCTCTTCTTGGCAGGCAGGGTGAGATTGTGCCGTCGGCGACCAGCACCTCATGGAACTCTTGTTCCAGGTCTCTCCATCTGGGCGCTTGGAAAGGGGACTTTCTGCATCACGGCCCTGAAAATCTCCAGCCCACCACGGACGTGTGAGCGGTCCCGAGGTCTCCGTCCGCCATGATGTCTTCTGCCCACTCCACTGAGTCCAGCGGTACTACTATGCCCCAGATGGTTAAAAAGTCATGCTCCTTGCTGCCCCTCCTTTAAGTGGGCTCGGTGATGGAAAGAAAGCCAGTCAGAAGAGTACGGGGTTAGTTCCCGGCTTACCTGAACTGGTGTCAGTATGCCTGCGGCACCGCGGAGCACGCCACACTCGGTAAAATGCTCCTCCAGATGCAGATGCCTAGCTCACCGCAACAAAACTCTTTTGGGTTTTTAGCAAAGTTTTGTGATTTTTGCCCCAGACCCTCATTTGGTCTCAGAAGTGGGATTTCAAAGCTCTTCTACCTCCCACAACCCCAGGGCACAGAGAGTGTAGGCCTGGCCAACAGAGCCTATTGACTTGTGGCAGTTACATAATCTCCTGTCAACTAGGGAAGGGGTGGCGTCTAGCCTGTCAATCAGGTCATAGCCAGTGAGGCCTCCGTGTGGGCGTGGCCTTCTCCTGAGGATTCTGGGAACTCCTGTCTTCCTCCCTGGAGGCGAGACACTCTCCACTTTGTCTTCCTGCTGACAAGTCACCAGGAGCTGCACTGATGGAACCAGAGCCCGGAGCTAGAGAAGCCACGCGGAGAGCCTTGCCAGCGCTGAGATGCTTCCACTGCCACTGGATCCACAACTCTCCACCCCCTGGCCTGTGAGGTTCCTGCATTTGGTGTCATTGCATGTGTTGTGTGAGTCTGATGAGGAACTTATAGACTGTTATCGGACATATGGGCTAATACTGGACCTAAGGACTTGATCTGGACTGGGCTGGTATGTTTTCTTAATGTACAACTGCGCTTTGATATAATGTTCTCTGAGTGTCTCCAGATCTGTTTCTCTAGTCAACCCAGGCTAACACATGGCTCATCAACTTTCCAGATTCCCAAGGGTTGCCTGGGGTGGAGTCTCTCCACACCAAGGTGCATCTTGCACAGAGCCCTGTGACTGTGGGTCGAGCCGACTTGATGGCCCCTAACAACAACATTAAGGAAGTTAGCAGGTTGCCACAAGTCAGGATTAGAAAACATCAGAGAGAAGGTCCTTTGTTCACATCAGCTACGTGCCTCTCTGGTCCTCAGCCTCTCAGCCTCAGCCCCCCTTGGCCGGTGCTCTGCTCAGGCAGGTGTTACGGTGTGTTCCAAAGCTGAATGCAGATTCATGTCCAAAGGGTACTCCACTCTGTAAGCCGGGAAGCCTGCCTCTCCCTCTCATGGTCTTGGTTCTGCCCCTCTGTTCTCATGGCCTCTCACCTCTATGCTCTGTCTCATGGTCTCGGGGCTGTGGCCTCTGGTGTCTGCTGCGCCATCACTTTGGGCAAGGCTCTCAAATGCACTCGGTTAGTGG